CTCTCTCTCTCTCTCTCTCTCTCTCTCTCTCTCTCTCTCTCTCTCTTTTGTTGTATACGTTCAATAACTGCTGAAGTTTATTCAGAGTTTCGGGCATGTGGCAAAAACATTTCATAGTATTTCACTCTGTCTGCCCGTCCTTCCGTCCGTCGCATCATGTGTCAAAATAAAAGCTCCAACTTGTTCACAATTCACATATTTTGGCACATGTGTGCGAGGTGCTTAGGTTTTGGCCATTAAAACAAAATGGACTAGAGCAGACCAAGCCAGACCCAGTCAGACGAAGCCAGACCACGCCAGAGCTGAGCTGAGCTGCCTCTGAGCACTGTGAAGGGAAATAATATAGGTCGTAGAATTGCGCTAAATCCCAGTCACATGTGAGGCGAGAAGAAAAAACTCACGACTTTTTTTATGTGAGTGCATATAGTAGAGAGGTAATTGCTAATGATAAGTTAGAAATTGGAAACTGGCGACAGACCAACGAACGTCAATTAAATCGCTAGCCAAAAATGTAACTGAAGCTGCAGCGACATCAACATAAATTCGACTTGACGTTGCGAGCAGGCAATAAAAGTTAGCAGGCCAACGGGACGTATGTGTAATGTGCAGAATGTTGCATTTGGAAAGTCAACAAACGCAGCAGCAGCAACAACGAGTGGATAATAATGCTGTAGAATTATGGCAGTAAGAGCTACAAGAGACACAGCGACAGAGTGACAGAGTGACATAGAGAGAAAGAGAGACAGTCAGAGAGAGAGAGTGAGTAAGCGAGAGAGACAGAGTTGAATCATAAAGCTAACGCAACGTTCAGGCTTTGCTGCAATAGATCATCAAAATAATGATAAGGTTGATTTCCTGCTTAGCTGCATTGTTGCCCAAAATGGAATTGGCTTGGATTTTAGCCATAATTCTGGCAACACGTTGCCAGCAAACCAAGCCAAACCAAATGGGGTCCAGGCTGTGGCATGGCAATGCCAGCAACTGCGCTCAACTTTTTTGCTCTGTGATATGTTCGAGTGTTGACTGTAGGTGTGTGTGTGTAGGTGGGTCGTGAGTGGTGTCGAGTGGTTCTGCTGCTGCTAGCTTCTGGCATGCAACAACTCGGCTCTTCAATGTCGAGCTCGAGGCAGAAGCTGGAATGCTATCAAATTGGTTACACCTGCAGTGGCAAATTTTCGGAAATTTTAACTAGCGCAAAATGTGACTGTGTGTGACTATGTATAGGTGTGTGTGTGTGTGTGTGTGT